AAAAACCTACAACAACCCAGTGATTCCGGCCGTGAAAGCCTTCGACAATACATCCAGCCTCTGTTTGAAAGCCTCCAAAGAAGGAGCCTCCACCACCTTCCACAGTGGAACACTCTGCCCTGGAGTGTGGAGGAGGCTCCTTCTTTGGACGCTTTTAAACAGAGGCTGGATGGCCATCTTTTGGGGGTGCTTTGAATGTGATTGTCCTGCTTCTTGGCTTAAAGGGTTGGACTGGATGGCCCACAAGGTCTTTTCCAACTCTGTGATTCTTCTCAACCAAGATGTAGACGAATGACCGTGAACTGCTTTCCCCTCCTGTGTCCTCAGGTGACGGAACTGGCACCGCTCGGCTCCCTCCTGGACCGCCTTCGCAAGAACCAGGGCCATTTCCTGATCGCCACCCTCTGCCTGTATGCCATCCAGATTGCCCAGGGCATGGCCTACTTGGAGTCCAAGCGCTTCATCCACCGCGACCTGGCTGCCCGCAACATCCTGCTGGCTGCCAACGACCTGGTCAAGATCGGCGACTTCGGCCTCATGCGGGCCTTGCCCAAGAACGATGACCATTACGTCATGCAAGAGCACCGCAAAGTCCCGTTTGCCTGGTGAGAGGATAGGATGGAGCAGATATGGCCAACTTGTTGTTGGAGCTCAGCCTGTGATTGTGTTTCAGGATCAGGGTGCTTTGGATGTGGGGAGTGATTCCAATGAGTTGCAAGATGGCAATAGTTTGGTCAATGATATTGATGCAGAGAATGACCAGGAGATCCCTGTTCAAAGTGTAGTTTCCCATGAGAATGTCCCTGAAGGGTGTGGGGATGATGGTGTACTCCCTAAATTGTTAACAGAGAGTTCCCAGGATTTGGGGCTTGAAAACAACTCAGCACCTGGCCCAGCTGCAGAAATTAATGAGCAAATAGATGGGAGGAGATTAGTCAAATAGACAAGCCAAACAGTGGCTTTGGCGTTCTGACAGGCTCTGACAGAAAAAGATAAGAGAATCTCAACTAAAACGAAACCTTAACGAGGAGATAAAAGTTCCAAATACGGGAAATGTAGCCAGATGAAGCATCATTTGGAACCAAGTTAAGTTCTCATCCTTGTTTCATGGAAGCCTTGCTTGGAAGATTGATGCTTAAGTACTTCTTGTTTCATGGTTTTGATTCTTGGATTTTATGATTGCATACCATGTTTTGGATTAATGTTTCCTGGTTTTCTGGATTTTATTAGAGAAATGTGGACTTTGTTTTCATGAACTTCAGGGGTGATTTGAATGCAATATTCCTGCTTCTTGGCAGGATGTTGGACTGGATGGCCCATGAGGTCTCTTCCAACTCTTTGATTCTATGATTCTATGACTTTGCTGAACTTTACCCTGGACTATTTTGTTCCTGCTTATCTTCTTACCTAATTGGATTTACCTATTTCTTTAAAGTGCTTTCTACTTTGCTGCTTTTAAATTATCTTCAATAAAAGGATTGTTTTCCAATCAATTGTGTGGTGTTTACAGTCAGAGGGCTTTTCCTGTCCTGGAGTGCAATGCTTGGGCCCTCCATGTTG